ACGGTATTAATCTAAAAATACGAATATTAAAAGTTGATCAAATCCGTTTATCAACATAACTCTTGCACCATTTTTATTATATTTTTTTATTTTTGGTAAGAAACATAATCGAGGTGCTAGTCGGTATAACCATTGATAAGCTCATATACTCTTTCAACAAATATGCATAGTATGCGTTTTTGTAACATAGTATAACGCATTGACCTGCGTCTAACGATTAGACTGTCTCGTACAAAAAAATTATGTAATTTTTATCCACTAACTTAAAAGATAACTAGCCATGATTGTTTCTCACTATTCATGGCTAAAGGGTGCAAATGCAATTAATGGTATTAAAATATTCAAAGGGGCTCCACCCCTTGATCCAAAAATAGCTAATTTATTAAGATTCTATAGAATTTTTCATTCACTACTTTTAGGTCCCATTAAAAGAACATAAATTTTCAAGAAAAACATACCCCAAAACAGTTAATCTGATTTGAGTACAATACAAACAAACCATTTTAGTTGAAAGAAGCACAAAAGAACCATAATAATGCATCAGAATCTTGATAACTTGCTGCAAATAACTGGAAAAAAAGGCCTTGGTTTTACTTACATATGATATGATTGGCTATTATATTCCTACTCATACCTAAAAGGCAAACAAAATTAAATGATTCTCTCTATCCACACCAAAAATCCACGTGGCCCTCTCTTTTTTTTTCACTATTTATAATGAGATTTTTCCACCTCAGCATGCAAGCAACAATGAGACCAACAAAAGGCAAACGAGAAAAACAGGCATAAATCCACGTGGCCTCGATGGAGATGACGAATCCTCGTACGAAAGGGTATTTCTGGGAATCGACAACTGCCCACACACCTTGAGGTGCCCGAGCCCAACTCCGACCCTGACCGACTCCAAGCCCTCGTCAATGCAAAGGTCCAAATTGCCCCTCAACTTCAGTTTACTCCCAAGCTTGGACACAAACCCTTGTGAAAACGGCACTCGCCCACTCAAATTGTTGTTCTCCAAATTGAGCTCACTCACGGACTCCAAAAACTCAAACTCCTCCGGCACAGGCCCATCAAGCCCATTGTTATCAAGCCCCAAGTAGCAAATATTTCTCAAATGTATCCCCATTGATTTTGGGATATTCCCAACGAGGCCCACTCCAGAAAGCCCAATTCCCATAATACCCCTCAGACCGCCCCAAATTTCCGGAATCTGCCCTCCGAGCAAATTACCACTCAGATACAGTTCCTTCAAACTGAACATCTCTGATAAGAACAATGGCAGACCAAAATTACCAAAGCGATTAAAGCTCAAATCCATGAACTCGAGGCTTTTCAAGCCCTTGAGTGTTTCAGGTATTTTACCAGAAAATCGATTGAAGCTCAGATCGAGCTTCAGCAGCTCCGTCAGATTCCCGACGGATTCCGGCAGGTCTCCTTCGAATCCGTTACCGCTTAGATCGAGAATTTTCAATTTCTTCATGTTTCGAAAAATGTTCGTCGGGATCTCCCCTGTGAGGTTGTTTCTCGAAAGCGTGAGCTGCTCGAGATCGATCGAATCGGAAAATTCGCCTGGAAATCCGCCGGAAACGCGGCTTCCGGTCAGAACGAACCTTCTCAAACCCGTTAACCCGCCGACTTTTCCGTCGAGAGACCCGAACACCGCCGGGTTGTCGACGAAAACCAGCTCCACCAACGACGGCAAGCGCGAAAAATCGGGAAACGCGAGTTTCGCCTCGGTGAAGCACTTGTAGAAGAAGAGCTTCTTAAGGCGGGCGAGCGGTTGGAGCAGGGTCGGGTCGAAGGCGGACGTCGGGCCGCAGGGCGGGTTGGGCGAGTAGTCCGAGACGTACCCGAAGCTGAGCTCCGTCACGTGCGGCGCCGCCTCCGCCGCGGCGTCGGACGAGTAATCGCAGACGACGCCGTGCGGCGCGGAGGCGCAGAGGTCGTCTGGGAAGAGGGACCGCCACGGGACGTCCGGGTTGACCGACTCGAGCACGCGGTAGACCGATTCCTGCTCGGCCGGGTCGAGCGGCGGCTGTGAAAGAACGGCGATGGGCACGAAGGAAAGGACGGTAAAAGCAGTTAGAGAGAGAAAAAACTGTGCCGTAGCCATGGGAGCTTTCTTGGAAGAGTGAAAAATGGCGTGAATTAATGGAGATAATAACGTGAGTTTATTCTTTACTTATATAGTGGTAAGGGGATGTTTGTTTGTTTGGTTTGAAAGATGAAAACGGAAAAAATATGGAAAGGACAAATATGGTTTTCCAGAGATTTGCTGGGTTGTGTTTATGCTAACTTTGTGTGTAATTTTACGATTTTGTCCTCTGTGTGTCTGAGTTTATTATACTGTTGTGCTTTTATGATAGGGTGGTGCAGTGTGTGGACTGTAGAGGATTAGAGTAGGAGCTGTTTTTGAGGACTAAATAAAAAGAAGGAAAATGCTGCGTTACGGTACTATCCTATAGGGTGTTTTATCTGTTGGATCATCTATCTTATTTAACTATCTAAACAGTTAAAGCCAGGGGCGAAACCACAGTATTAATCGGCGAGGCGCCGGCCCTTCCAAAAAAAAAAAAAAAAAATCGAACTAGGGGTGGAGGGTTTTGCTGGAATTGGAAGGCGCCCTTTGAGCGCCCTTCCGATGCCGGAGTGGGGGTGGTGCGCCGCGGAATGGCTGGAGAGGCGCCACTGGAAATTCAGAATCCGAAAACACAGAGCAGCTGAGCAGGGAGGCATGGAGCCATGGAGGGGAAGCTGGATCGGAGAAAATTTGTGTTTGTGTTTGGTTTTGTCGTGAAATTTTTTTGTAAAGACAAATTGGACCCTCCCGAAATGGGATCCTGATTTCGCCACTAGTTAAAATACTCGACGGGATGATAATATGGTACCGTAACAAGATCGTAGCATTTACCTAAAAAGAAATACACAGCAGGGGCAAAGTAGTCTGTTTACAGTTTTACACAGTGGTAAGTTGCGTTGCATGGGGAAAAGGGGAGCCAATGGGTAAAATCCTGAAAAAAATGATCAGTCAATTCACATTTACCGCTTTTGTCCTTTACCTATAATTTAATTAATCCCAGCGATTCCCTTATCTAACCATCATGCAATTAATTGCATAATTCTTCTACTTTGTCCTTTTCGTTTTTTATATATTTATCAGGCATAAAAAAAAATTAGTAAAACGAAACCTAATTAACAGAGTAGCCTGAAATCCTATGCACGCTACGTGCTGCGCCTTTAATAAGCTTGAAAAAAATTAGCATTGGAAAAGGACAACTGGGGGCAATGCTATATGTACACCCCTTTTTTACACACAAGGGGGTGTACATATAGACACCCCCTAATAATAATAATAATAGGGGGTGTCTATATGTACACCCCCTTGTGTGTAAAAAAGAGGTGTACATATAGCATTGCCTTTTGTGTAATTTATTAAAAAGGGGTGTACATATAGCATTCCCATAATAATAATAATAATAATAATAATAATAATAATAATAATAATAATAATAATAATAATAATACATAAAAATCTGAATTTCATGAAACAACAATAGTATATAACTATATTATAATATACTCAATTAGTAATGTTTCCCTACCCACAGTGAGTATATGTTAATATGGCATACACACATCGGTTATGTATTTTTTTGAAGATGTTAACATCACCAACGTGTGGATGTCACATAAACAGTAGACATATTAACACGTACCCACCGTAAATAGGGAAGCATTAACATATACTCATAGGAGATTATTGTTTTGAACTTCAAAATTATGTTAATATGTTAATATTAACACGTAGGTGTTAATATGTTAATATGTTCACTGCTTATGTGGCATACACACATTGGTGATGTATTTTTTTGAAGATATTAACATCACCAACGTGTGGATGTCACATAAACGGTAGACATATTAACACGTACCCACCGTAAATAGGGAAGCATTAACATATACTCATAGGAGATTGTTTTGTACTTCAAAATTATATACACGAGGTGTAGTAATCGGGCATCAAAATCGGTTAGTGATATGACAAGCAACGAATAAAGCTTCGGTGAGCACTGATTTCATAGAGTTTTTTTTACTATTGGTTCAACATATATTAATGTGTGTAATGTAACGTTAAAAAATACAGTAAAAGCATTGTCCGCATGAATATGATCGAAATTTTTTACAAGTAGTTTGATGCAATTCCACGTGAGATTATTTTCATTTTCAATAAATATGACAATAATATTGTTATCTCAAAATAATAGTTATATATTATAGAAGACTTTAAATTCAAACTTCCATATAATTAAAATAAAAAAATAATTGTAACCAAGAAAATGAAATACTAGTATTTTTTTATAAAAGAAAAGGAGAAAAAGAAAAGAAAAACAATGTGGCTCTAGTAATCTACGTGCAGGCGTAGGGTATAAAAGACGAACCGCAGCGGCGGAAGCCGACAGCGCCAAAGCATCAGCCGCCGACTTGTCCCCACCGCTGTCCTTTTTTGTCCATTTCCCTCCAATAAGAAAGCGACGCATAACAAACCCAGAGCATCCCGCACACGTGGCGGATCCCCATTGGCCGGTCCACAAGGGGCGTGTACGGAGTATCGTTTCACAGGTCATGCGAATGCCATTTCCGGGTCTTATATTCCCCTACAAAACCCTCATACCAATTTTTTACCGTTTTACCCCTTCCCCCCATCTGTTTTTCACTTTTACCGTGTTTTGAAATTTTGTCTTGCTGGCCGTTGGGGGGTATTTAATTTATTTCACTAAAAAGGGTACTGGTGGAGAGGGGACAAAAACTTTTCAACGAGGTGAAAATACAATAATAATGATAAATAAATAAATAAATTCGAAGTATATATAAATACATTTTTTTTTTTTATTTGATATTTTAATTTAATGATCAGTTTTAGTTAGAAACATTTCTAAAATCAATTTTTTATGGTTCAAATCATTAAGATCTCATTAAAAAAAATGGCGTTTGTTGCGTCGCTGTAAATTCCAATAATTTCTTGTAAGTTTGAATTTATCAATTTGTGCTATTTAATTAATGCTACATTCAATTTAACCATACAATGCATCAACTTCATTACGCTCAAGTTTCCAATTTTTTGTTTATTTATTTATTTATAAAAAAGGAGTCTTAACAGTTTGAAGTTGATGACTTGATGTATTGATAAAATTGGACTCAGCTCTTTCAGACCCCATCGTACGTGCCGTTCGCCGCTACACTACTTTGCTCATCTTCTTCGCATATCAGTAAGATGCTGCGGTTTCGTTACGGAATCATTCCGTTGGAGTTTGTAACCGTTAGATCAATTTTTTACGATTACATGATGATCTAATGGTTACAAATCCCGATGAAATAGTTCCGTAACGAGATCTTAGCATTTTCCGATAAAATTATAGTGGCAAATTACTAGATGAATATAATAACATTTATTAAGTGAATCTATACTTATATTAAAAGCCATACTATTTACCAAAAATAGTAGCAAGAAAAGTCAACTCACATTTAATACATACTTTATTTAGAAACTTTTTACTATATGCATTAATTGCTTGCATTTATACATTTCCTATTCAAATATGATTAAAAAGATTTTTTCCTTAAATAATTTTATTAACTTCTGTAATGATTTTACTGATATATATTATAATTCATATTTGTCGATAGTATTTTTTAATTTTTATTTGAGTATATAAAAAACAAAAAAAAAAATTAAATTAATATTTTATTTATCATTTAAGAGATAGTGATCACATCATTAAATGATATTACTGATGGTTAGATAATAAATTAAAATACATTAATTATTCTTTAAAATTTTGGCATGTTATTTATTTGTATCTATACTTATTATATAAGGTATCCTATTTACCCAATTTAGTAGATTGAAAAGTCAACGTAATTAATGCATTGCTATTTCTATCCAAAATATTATTTAATTATTTTATTTATTTGTCTTATATCCCATAAAATCAGTTTAAGAAAATAAAAATCCTATAACATCTGACAAGTAAAAAAAAAAGACGTAAAATCTTTACTAAAATAAAAAGACTCTATTTATTTGTCTTATTCCATATTAACATTGATTTTGTCCAAATAAATCTCATAAAATCAGTGAAGTCAAAATTTGTACGTAAAGTCTATCTATCCAAAAAAAAAAAAAAAAGTCAAACTTTTCCTTATCTAATTTTTTTATTATCTAATTGTATGAAAATCTGTTCTGATTTTGTTCAATCCTCTAATTGTATTTGTATTATATTCCATAAAATCGATTTAACAAAAAAAATCTCATAACATCCGATAAGTAAAAAAACAAAGTACGTAAAATCTTTACTAAAATAAAAAGACTTTATTTATTATCTAATTTATTATCTAATTGTATGGAAATTTGTTCTGATTTTATAGTACGTACTACAAATTGTGCACCCGTGTTCAGGAGCTACCTTAACGGACAAGCTCTGTGGAAATGACTCATTTAGTGCTTCTGTCCCGTGCATACGGTATGTATTTTTATTACACATACTAAAAAATTGTGCACCCCGTGCATCGCACGGGCTCTGTACTAATAAATGACCTTAAAATTGTGCACCCCGTGCATCACCCGTGTTCACATTTTGGCCTATTACAGGTCACGTACTATATATATCCCGTACGTTTTTTTTTATTCATTTCTATAATTATAAGAATGGATAAATGACCTTAAAATTGTGCATCCCGTGCATCGCACGGGCTCTGTACTAGTGAAATTGAAAGATGAAAACTTTCTTTATCTATGCATATTGCTTTTCGATAAGGGTAGGTTCTTTTGCCTTCTGGGTTCATTATAACAATTTCTCATTTGAGGCTTCCATTTGACTTTTTTTCTCTGAAAAATGAAACGTGAACTGTATTCGAATATTGTGATAGCTAATAAGGCATGACACGATTAACGCCATTAGAATTCATAACATTATCGAGCTGGTAGAGACGAACCAAAGAAAATGATCTCTATTATGCACCGTAAATCCCGTGGAATAACGTTGACGAAAAAAGGAAGATTCATTTAAGCAAAGCAGTCGATTCGTGCCGAGCATAATCGCAGATTACACGTCTTATCACAGATCTGAAAATCTCTAGATCTACTGTACGTAGTCAAATAATTTGTAACTGTACAATAAGGACACAAAATTCTATGAACAGTGGAACAATTGTTTGTTCTGACATATTATGCTACTAAACACAAATTTCGAAACATTTGATACTCAATATCTTCTTTCAATGAAATTAGCTACGAGTTGAAATACAAAGACAGGGCAGAGGGAGAGGGATTCATGGTACTGGTTTAGAGAGTGATTAATGGTCACATGGGCCTAAATGTACATGCAGATTCATATCGAGCCCAACAATGGTGGGCCTGAGTTGGACTGTTAAAGAGTTTAGCTGAGATATCTGCTTAGCTGCCCGTGTTGACGTTCAGAACAACTATGAATCATGAATTTTTTTAAAATAAAAACAATTGATATTTAGTAGTATGCATGATTAAGAGTAACCAAATTTGTTTGAGCTAGTACACAGTGCACCAAAAGTGAAAGCTGATAAAGTTTGGTTTTTAAAATGCAAAATTTTCGCAAGGTAAAAACATTTGTTCAAACGGAAAGAAATTAAGTACCATTAGGTGATTTCGATTAGGAAATTCATCGCAAACTAGAACACGAAAAACTTGCTACTTTCTTTGTATCAAAATAAAAATTTATTAAAAATATTCCCCATAAAACAGTGGAGACCAAAAGCCAAAGGGTTTCGGTCAAGAAACCCCCTCAATTTTACTTCTCAAATCAATAGATTTTTGTAATATTAACCCGAAAACAAAATACGAAACGTGAAAAGAAGAGTTGATTGTAATCAACCTCGTCTGGAAAAAGAAGGGCTTTTCTTTCTTCAGCTTGCTATGGCCTTGACTGCCTTCTCAGCCGCATCGTCCAAATCTTCGGCAGTAATCAAAGTCATGCCGCTTTCCTGCAAATAGTCGTGAAAATTTGAAAAAAAAAAAAAAATGTAAACCAACTCATGTAGCACTTTGTTTAGCGAAAGATAAATTTCCAATGTTTGACATTATGTGATTTTATATTCACCTTTAGGATTCTCTTGCCTTGGTCAACATTAGTGCCCTCAAGACGGACAACAACAGGAACTTTCAGTTGAACCTAAGATTCCAGCACAACATTTTTTTTTTTTTTTTTCAGAATTTTGGCAGTCCCGTATAGATAAAAACAACAGCGATAATTTGCAAATGTATCAAATTTATGTGCTTTGACCTGTTTAGCAGCATTTACAATTCCACTGGCTATTACATCACACTTCATGATCCCACCAAAAATATTGACAAGAATAGCCTTCACCTTCTCGTCGGAAGTCAGAATTTTGAAGGCTTCCACAACCTGATCAGTACATTCAACTAACCGGTAAGTATTCATAACTTAAATCCAAGTTCAAAATAAATGTGAGATAATAAATAAAGGAATAGAGGAAAACATCCATCAACTACTGCATGCATGTCTAAAATAGCAGAGCCGAATACTATTAATTCTCAAAAATCAACTATATGCTTTCAGATCATACGAAAGAAAATGAACCCACATTATAGGAAAGGTAATACCGAGATCAGAATTACCTGGCCTTCAGAAGCATTTCCTCCAACATCGAGAAAATTAGCTGGAGTTCCTCCATGTAACTTAATTATGTCCATCGTGGCCATGGCCAACCCAGCACCATTCACCATGCAACCAATTTCTCCATCTAAACCAATGTAATTCAAGTCTGCTTTAGCTGCAGCAACCTGAGAGAGAGAGAGAGAGAGAAAAAAGATAATGGTGACAAGCATATCGAAAAAAAATAAAGGATTTATTTCTTCAAAGTCTCATACATAAAGGTCAAGTTTTTATTACCTCACGAGGATCTTCTTGTGTGGGATCCCGAAGAGCGAAAATCTCTTTCTGGCGAAAAGCGGCATTATCATCAAAGTTGAGTTTTGCGTCAGCAGCTACTAACTGCTTATCGGAGGTCTCAGCAATTGGATTGATCTGTCACAAAATAATGCTTAGAAATTTTAAATTTACCCGTCACAAAATAATGCTCTGAAGTTGGAAACATAAGAAGATTATTAGCAGCAAATATATTTATAAGAGAAAAAAGAGAGCACTTCTGACAGAAATAGTTTGAGCTTTCTCACCTCCAACAGCGTGCAATCACATTTGCAGAAAAGTTCATACAACTTCTTCACTTGTTCAATCGATGCATTTCTATCAGCCACCTTGGGAGATAGACCATCAACCACCTTCGCGGCATCCTCATCAGTAATTCCGGTGAAAACATCAATTGGCACCTGGGTCATGAAAGGTTATTAAACATAAATTAGTTAAAGATCATTTCTACATCTTAAAATAATAAAAGGAAGACCAACCTTTACAATCAGCTCCGGGTGTTTCTCTGCAAGATCTTCAATACTGGTTCCTCCCTTTTTACAGGCAATAATAATCTACAAGATGTAGATGAGAACACACAACTCAGGAGATAGAAAGATTACTTTGCTAAAAGTGGCATTATTTCTACTTAAACTCATCATAAATTAGATGTTGCATAGTATCAAGAAGAATTCTCTAACATTCATGAAATATCTTGATGTATAGAGTTAAGAATATTTTTGGAGAACATAAGACCAGTATGCAAATTACTGATCAAGGCAATTTGCATAGTTTCCGTTTTCAGTTACACAAAGGCATGCATCTCATAATAATTCGTATACAATTGTTACCTACATGACCTAGTAAAGTGAAGCAATACAAGGAGTGCAAAGGGGATGAAAACTTTGATAGCCAAGATATCAAACACAAATAAGGTGTTCATCTTTAGGAACTTACAGGACCAGCAGATATGCGATCAAGAGTAATGGCAAAATACATCTCATTGACTAGGGATAGCTTCTCAGCCAAATACACCTGAAAAAAGAAAATAAATAGAATTACAGGATCACCTAATGAACACATAACAACGAACTGAAAATTCCTGCAGAATTATACGGCAGTAGAGGTATAACTAGGGAAAGTACAATAAAGAAAACATCATAGGGAAAATTATTTCCATTCCCACAGTCATTAAAGAACAAGTAAAAACTATCTTATTTGAATGGAAATATTCAGGCAACTGTACGTCTGTACGTGAAAGAAAACGTCAAATATAATATTCTAACATGTAGTCAAGGAATATACTCATATATATAATGAGAATAAACAAAGAACTGATTAAAATTTGTGCAATTGCATACAAGAATTAGAGGTGAAAGTACATTAAATCAAGTTCAGCCATATAGTTTCGTGGCAAACATTACGTTCTTCTGTGTTCTTGATGAATATGAATATAAACATTTAAAAATTAAGAATGACCAACCTCAACAGCCTTTCTCATAATTAAGTGAATTTACTTAGTAAGCAATAATACTTCATAACCATCAGAAGCTGCCTAATCATACAACTGATGATAATTAAACAGAGCCTCAGGAAGCTTGAACTGAAATTCGATAAAAATGCACAATAAATATCAGTGATCGTAGCAGAGGGAATATTGATGGGTTTCAGTTGCAACTGCAGGCCTATGTATATACAAAATATCTATTATAAAAGTAGAAACAATGCCAAACCTTGCTGACAACTTTTCCTTGAGGCCCAGTTTGCTTAGTAACAAGTATCTGCCCGAGCATCTTACCTGAAATAACATAACTTCATACTTTAATAGCTGTTAAGGAATGAGTAGCTGCTAATAATATTCAATCATGCAAATTAGTCCACAAAAAAAATCTTGCATAGGATGAAAAAATAATAAGTGATGAACAATTGCCCTGAATAGTAGCACAATGCAGTTTTTTATCCACCCACCACAACTATATCAAACGTTGATGGTGCACCGTATTCAATGTGAACTTGATTGATGCAAATTATTACAATTCATAAACACAGGGAGATTGAGAAAAGCTCGATTACACCAACTAGATGCGAACTCATTCAAATTCTATATGAATATGAACTGCATGAGGCTGTCCATCTTACCAGCTATATCCTCAACCTGCTCAGCCTTTACAATATGAACTCCCCCCTGGAGACCACTCTTGAAAGTTCCCAGTCCTCGACCACCAGCAAGGATTTGAGACTTCACAACCACCTACAACAAAAAAATCGACTCAGTACATTAGTGCTTTAGATACTGTATGCTTAAATAGTTGGGCCCAACAGTTTTCTGAAATTGATTTCAGCACAACTATTCCATTCATCAACTAACAAAATAAGAAAAGCATATTATATCCTTGAACTACCTCACTCTCATTAGGAAACACTTCTTGCAGAGCCTTTCTAACTTCATCCACAGAACCAACTGCCACGCCTTTCGGAACGTTTATGCCATGTTTGCTCATCAACTCCGCTCCCTGCCATCAATATTTAACAACTCAGCTTCATTGTTAAATACAAGCATTCCAAAATCAGTCACCATGTCCTAAACCTTGCATCCCTAAAGCTAAAACAACGCAAATTTCAACTAACTCCTGCATTTCTTGACATGCTCACACTGCAACGCGAATATCAAACCGACCAATGCCACAGATCACGCTCGAAACTTCAAAATCGGCGCCACAGAGTGCACGTGAAAGAGCAATTGTGTGGCGGGCATACCTGATACTCGTGTATGTTGAGACGGCGGAGCTGTTGCTGTTGCCATTTCCCGGCGACGGAGAGCGAGCGACGGGCGATTTTTCCCAACAATCCTCTCACCATTTTTCTTTCCTGTATATGTTGCCTTTCTTTGAGAATTGAGATCCTTAAACGCAAGATCGAACTGAAAACAAACAATGAGTATGATATACACTGCAAACCCTAATACAGAAAAAGGAGAAAGGCGGAGAGGCTGACCTTCTCGCCGGCGTGAAAAGCTTGGACCCAAAGCTATGTGTGAACTTTTTCACCTTTTATATATTTGCTCTTTATTTACAAACTTTTATTCATTATAATTTATTTATAAAAAATTTATTTATTTATTTCTCTAAATTATAAATTGGGTATAAGTCATTTTAGATAAATATTTTATTTGATATAAACGTTATTATAAAAAAATATTTAATATTATGTAGTAGACAAATAGTAACAAAATTATCCATAGTATAAATATAAATAGAAAATTTTTATAAATAAAAATATTAATGATTGATTATTTATTTAAAATTATATATATCTATATATATCTAAAAAAAAATTGATGTAATTGAGTCAAAACTTTGACTTTTAATTTGTGGAAAATCTTCATAATTCCGCCATTTTCTTTTGGGACCACTCCATTAAAATCAGAAAGGGTAGTTGTTTATATAGTGAAGTACAAGGGTTGGAAAATTAATGGGATTGCATAATTGTTGTTGCATTGCAAAATTCACGTGCTTGAATATCTATCAGAATACAATCAATAATTATCATCAATCACTTTTGGTTAAAATCTTACCAATATCTTTCCATTTTTTTCGGTCAATACAAACGTGCTAAAAAAAATGTACAAAAGGATATTAACTACCACCATTATTTGTTCACATCATTCCTAGAGTTCAGAGAAAAAAATACAGAGATAAATTTCAGAACACATCGATAATATAATGCCGCTAGTCTGGGATACACTCGATTCCGTGAACAGGAGAAACAATTTTTTTTTTTTTTTTTTTTTTTTTTTTTTTTTTTTTTTTTTTTGCGTTTGAGAGCAGTCCAAATTATTGAAATATATTACGAACGGAAGAGATGTAATGCATTCCATATACTGTTTCATGATGAACATGCAATATTTTCATTTGTTATATCAAATTTATATAATTTGAAAAATTATTTTAATTAATATTTATAAATTTATATTATAGGGTGCATCCATTAAATATCTATCCAATGACGGCATATCTTTTCATTCTTTTACATGCTTCAGAGAGATATGTGAGGAAACAAAATTTATCAATACAATAACTATATTCTCTATTATTTGGACAACTATTCAAATGGGAAACTAAATATTCTATGATTTATTAGTTTGTGCACAACCAATTTTGTATAAAGATATTTATCCTGGCCGTATCTTTAGTTTCCTATATTCTTGATTAAAACTTACCGACGAAATATATAGCCGTATTTATATAAGATTAATGGTTGTGAAAGAAAATGGTCATCAGTATTTACGATAAGGTATAAAATTTTCTGAATAGTGCATCAACCTCGGTGCTATCAATCTACTTCATATGAACTATTATCTATAATTTCTAATAGTTTTTCTTTTTACGCAGTGAGAGTGAAAATACTATACATAACAATTTTCGAAGAGTGGCCACCGTATCATACAAGATTATATGGCGTCGGATGAATTCAAATTTCCAATTGCAACAAAAAATTCACAGGTAATTATCTTCAAACATATGACATGACGAAAACAGATTAAAACTACATGTTTTGTATAATTATCTTCAAACAAATTCAAAGGTAATTCTGTTTGTGAATGTAAAAGACATAGAATAGGTTAAAAATCTGTATATGCATATTATTGAAGTTTTATATAACGTGTATAATGATTTATTTAAATTCTAACAGATATTTTGTTTTGTTCAGATTCTGACACAAATAAGACTGCAGCAGATCAAGTAAGCAACGAAACAAGCAAAACAACCAATGAGTATAACAAATGCCAAGGTTATATTTTTATATATGTAATGAATGGTTTACTTAGTTAATATTTTGTATAAATATATACAAACATACCTTAATGCATATTTATTTGACATGAATTGTTTGTTCTGCCTCTTTGTCCATGTATGTTTACTCATTCTCCCGATTTTCCAGTACATGCATTTTGTACAGCCAAGCACACATAATTATGAACTAATTTTTTAAATTCATATCATAAAACTCAAGTTCATATCTTTTTGTCAAGATAACAATCACAGTACCTTGCACAGCTTAGTATTACACTCAACCAACGAGCATGAATGTATTATGTTTCTGCTTTGATTCAGATTTTTCCTGCAATACAACATTTAAAACAGGTTACACAAATATAACTGAAATATTATAAGGTTATAAGAAGCACAGACAAAACTGTAACACCTTTGTTTGTAGCCAATGTTCTTTATTTGTGTTTCATCTTTGAAGTCTTTTGAATGTTATATGTTGTTTATCCAACATTCTCGGTGTCATGACAGATGTTCACATGCAAACAAAGATTAACATATTATATATATTAGATTAAAAACACATTAAGACCAGGAAGCAAAAACTTTACCAAATTTGAGTAATCTATATATTAACAAATTAAATTGTGGAGTTCATGATAATTATTACATGTTTGGCATAATGCACTCAGTAGAATCTTTCTTTGGTAGGATGTCACCAATCTCAATTGTGCATACAAATAAAAAAAAAAATGTTAAGGTGTAGCTTAGGCAATTGTATGTTGCAATCTAAAGTTATATTAGGTCAAAGATAATATACAAGAATATGGTATTTTGTAATACGGCTATAGATGAAGTTAAATATTTTAAAGCAATCTTATTTTTTTGTCCCCTTTGAAAACAAATCTGGTAAAAATAAACATGAATAATACTCAAATGCACATCAAAAGGGAATTGATCTTCAAGAAACACTGCATCCTTATTTAGTATCAGCCTTTCATTTTCCAAGTCATATAACTGATATCATTTTCTCCCCCCTCAGCATATCCCAAAAAAATGTATTTTGCTCCCCTAGAGATAAATTTGATTTTAGAAGGCCCAATGGTAGCTGCATATGCAAGGCACCAAAAAGGTTTCAATATTTGATAAGCTGGTGCCCTTTTGTTTAACCTTTTGTTTAATCTCAAATGGGGTTTTCCAATCCAAGATAGAACTTGGTATCCTATTACTAACTAAGGTTGTTGTAAAGACAGAAAAGGCCAAAACTTAATGGGTAGTCCAGCTTGAAACATTAAACCTCTTGTCACATCCAACAAATGTATATGTTTCCTTTCTACCACTCCATTTTGTTGGGGATGATCACACATGTTGTCTCATATATAATTTTATTTTCTACAAAGTAAAGTTATAGATCATTCCTAGGAAACCTAACTCTCTCAACCTTCTTTTCATACTGAGTTTCCACCATAGTTATAAAAGACCTTTGTAGTCTCTCAGTCTGTGTTTTGTTTTCCATAAGATACACCCAACTGCCCCTGTTGTAATCGTCCACCAAACTAAGAAAGTAAGGTGTATTAGTAAGAGCTTCATCTTTACATGGTCCCCAATTATCCACATGTATTAATTCTAAACATTATGAAGTTTGAATACCCTTATTCTAAAAAGGAAATATGTGTTGCTTTGCCTTTAAACAAACTTCACAATCACGCACCAGTTTCTCACTCTCATCATTACATCAATTCCTTAAAAAATTTTAATTTTGTTTGGATTTTTTTGTTTGGTTTGATTAGTTTTGAAAAAGTTGGTATGGTTAGTTGTTACTGGGTATATTAAAATAATATTTAAAATAAAATGATTAAAGTTTATTTGATATAAAATATGAGAAAGAAGATTTGAAGTGATGATTAGTTAAAATTATATGAGTTGATGAATAGTGAGTCAAGGAGATTTGGTGTGTAAGAATGATTTATTTATATTATTTAATTATATTGATAATATTGATGATAGTTTGGTTGAGTTAAAATTGAGCTAAAAAAGTGGTTGAGTTAAAAATATTTGGGTTTTTTTTTGAGAAATTTTGTATCCAAGCATAAGTGTTTCATCGCAGAAAATGAAATATGTCCTAAACATTTATGCCAAAACATCATGGACAGATTACAAGATATACTATCCACTGGTTGATCCTTCAAACTGTATAAGCTCTCATCTAACTCTCCATAAGAACATATCTTCTCATCTCAGTCTTCTGGTCCTGCATATAGCAATGCATCCCACTTACAATCCACCATAAGTTGGTCTTTAAACATAGTTGTATGACTGACAACAAGTTATAATATTTCATATAAAATAATTAAAATTGTTAGTGAGTATATAAAAATAATATTTAATACAAAATAATTAAAATTGATTTGATGTAAAAGTACGAGAGAGATGATTTGAAGTGATTTGTTAGTTATAATAATGTGAGTGAATGAATAGTGAATTAAGATTGAGGTTGATGTTTTGTGTATGAATGATTGATTAATATTATTTAATTATACTGATAATATTGATGATAGTGAAATTGAATTAAAGTTGAGTTAAAACAAGTGATTGAAATATCACTTGAATTAAAATATTGAAATTTTTTAAAAAATTTATATAAACAAACATGCTCTACGTTTTCAACATTCTACATATTAATTCTTAAAGCACAACTTAAAAGCCTCAATAAGAAGCAAATTCCATGTGCTAGTTTTTCATGTTCCCAGGCTTAATGCAACTGGATTTGAACCACAACTCCACTTCCAAATTCATATCACACTCTCTTCACATGGCATCTCTACACCTGCATTTTCAGACACTGTATATTTGTCATGCCAAATCAAAACACACACACACACACACAATTCTGAAGCCCAAGAAGAAACTAAAAAAAAAAATGAAAAAAGTAAAAGGTTACCTTTACTAATATCGTGAAGCGACGAACACATCATTTACGTGAAGAGAGGTACGCATCATTTATCCACGAAGGCCTTTTCGCATTATAATAGAAATGTGCAATCATCTGAACCAGCTCGTCTGCCGATCTAAAGTCTGGAAATATTACAACAAAACTTAAACGATCATGTTCCGAATTTAGAGCTGCGGCATATAAAAACATCGAGGGAGAAAAAAGAAGATGCTCCTTACCTTTCTCTCTGTACAGCATCTTGTTCCCACGAAAGAACAAAATCTGCGGGCATTCTTTAACCTTAAGAGCGTACGCCAAATCCCTCTCGATGTTTATGTCTATCTTGATTGTCTGCACACGTAAATAAACCACGTTATTATATAAGTATATATAATAATGGTACAATTCAGAGATTTAAACAAGGAAATAGAAAATGAATGTTGTCTTTCTATCTGAGGTTGACATGCAATGAACTTCACAAACCCGAGGGGGCAACCGATCTTTTGCTTTCCAGTAAACCTCAGCTGCCTTTTCCAGCTCCTTTAGAACCTTCCAGTTATCACTTGCCCTGATCAAAAGTCATCAGAAATTCTATTTATCGAACTGTATACTTAGTCGCTAATCGTTAAAGAATGCCGAATGGAGCACATTTTTATTCTTTCCAACTTTACAGAACGATAGAATTGAATTAATCAATATAACCCAAGATTTTGCAGTTTCACCTGTTGTATCTTTCGAAAACGAGGACGATTAGCGGGCTCGGGTGAAAAGCAAATCTCTCCCACTCGAGACAATTAATCTCTTTCACCAACCCATCTTCAATCTCTCCCTCCCAGTCGATCTCGGCCCCGTCTTCACCCACGACATTCTTTATTGAGTGCTTATCGAAATAATCGGAGGCCCTAATTCCCCACCCGACTTCAGCATCCAACGGCCAATCACGATCCTCCTCATCAACCACCATCTCCTTTTCTCCTGAATCGCCAAGTACTTCTTCATCTTCATCTTCATCACTGTCACTCTCGTTTTTGTCGGAGGAGCCCGAATTACCATCTGCCTTTTCCTTTATTGCGTTTTCCACATTTTTTAGAATTTCAGGATTTTGCTTCCCGATGGACTCGAGAGTCCGTTCGAGGGAACCGCGCACGAAATCCTCGACTGCGGCCGCCTCGCCCCTCCGACCCCTCCTCGGCTTTTTGGGTATTGTGAACGGGCTTTTTGAGTTTTGGGCCTCCTTTTCGGGGTCTTTGGGGATACGGGCCCTGGTTTTCCGAGCAGGCTTGGCTTTGGGTTGAGAATTTGGGTTTGAGTTGGGATTCTGACCGGGTTTTCCAGAATCAGCAAGGCATGATATACGTTTTACGGTGCAATTAGGCTTTTCGGGAACTCTTGTGACGAAAATCGGAACTAACGAAACAGAACTTGAAGACAGTGTGCAATTTGAGCTTCTTGTAGGAACAAACGATGGAAACGAATATCGACTCGCACCCATATTCACTCCGAACGACAACATCTTTCGATTTATTAGTTTAAAATCCAATTATCTTCGGCAACTATTGCTTCGATTCAACTTGAAAAATCCTCTGCACGCAAAAAAAAAAACAACAAACAAACAAAACCCATCAACCGATAGGAAAATTAGGACCATGTGACTGAACTCAAGAACAGAGCCGGAAAAAGTTTCTCCGAAGAAAACAGAAACACTGCCGAGCAAAAACCCATAAATTTAAACACATTTATATGAAAATTTCAAACCGTCCTTAGACAGAATAACTGCCACATCCACAATAAATGCTCCAGATAGAAAAAAAAAAAAATAAAAAAAAAATTAAAAAAAATCAAAATCGATCAAAAAGCATGCTCATGATAACTTGCAGTATTTACACTTCAACGGGTCATTAAAAACAGAATCACTTTGAGCAGCGTAACGTGAAAAGAAACCCGTAAAGTCCTCGACTAGGCAAATCATCGAACACATGGCGCGCAACTAGCCGGCAGTACAGATAACAACCGACTTGCAGACCCCGAAACTTAAGGAACTAACGTAATTCGCCAGTTTCGTTGCGTGTGTGCATGTGTTACAGAGACATAAACAGATAATGATATGAGATTATAGAGAGAGGGAGAGAGAAAATATTACGATAAATTGGCGAGAAAATGGAAAAGCTTCTAGAACCTTTGCTGGACTCCCGCTTTAGCAACTGCACCTGTACCAGTGTACAACAACTACAAACTAGTTGCTAGAGTCATCGAGTCAAACCGTCGTCTTATCCGATTGGTTTTCATGTTTTATCTGATCCTCCACCGAGTTTGGACGAGTGGCTCGATATTATCGGGGTCTCGTACCTCCGCGAGTTCTAGTTTAGCACTTAGGCCTGTGGCCTCCTTATTTATACCAAAAAAAATAAATAAATAAACTTTTTTTATTATTTTTTATTCTTTATTTTATTTTATTATATTATTTTTTTTTTAGAGAATAAGAAAATAGAAGGAAATAGAAGAATTTAAATGATGGAGTACGATAAATAAAGGGCGTGTCACTCCTCACGTTGACGCTCCCCACTTGAACTTTTTTCCGCGATGAATGCAATTTCTATTACATAAATGTGACCAAAGATTGTATAAATAGCGTGATGTGATATAGTTATAGATATCTACATTTATCTTAAACTAGGCAGTAGTACTATGTATTGAATGGTGTAACTTATATGTTAGATGATGAAAACATAGAAACACCCATCAATAAAATTGTATATTATACAGCGATTTTGTCATTATCAAACTGTAGAACTGCCTAATTTCACCGGACAATTAACTGATACGTAGATGATGTTGAAGACGCTATTAAATGTTTTCATGTTAATGTATGAAACTCATTTGTACTCTATATATTGATGATGAAAATATAAATGCAAATATTAGAGGGATCGTTATTTTGTAACTTTGTCACTAACGTTTGATTGGTATTTTTATCCTCTTGTCAAATTGTGGAACGGCCTAATTTTATTGAGCAATCAATTGATATGCAAATGTTAAGTAGAAACTACCAAATGTTTTTGTGTTGATGTGATGTATGAATGATTATCTTCTCGATTAGCTTGTGAGCAATAAGTTTATATCACTGAAAAATGAAATTATCTGCAAATATCACTGGATAATTAAATGATGAGATGTCGACGTTTTTTTATTTAAAATGATTATATCCCCTCCCTCTCCATTAAGAAGCGAATCAAACTATTATAATTGGAAAATTAGTTGATATGCAAATCGGATAAACTCTAAATCATCAAACAGCTGTTAACAACAATCCAAGGTCGCATACCTATACTCAAACGGAAACTAATTAAGCTCTCACTCACAACAATTGTTGTCGCGTTGTATCTAAGTAGTGATTATCATTAGTTGCAGACTTGCAGTGAGGTGATCAACCTTATATTATCAAATATGTATACAGCAATATGCAAATATTACCGAAAAAAACTAAGAAATTATTCTGTTACTAATATCTAAAAACGTATCTTCCCTCTCAGTTAGTATTAACTATGCCTAAAACTGACTGCAACAAGATCCTGTTGCCGATGCTCTTTCTCAGTAACTCTATATATACATCCATTATCGATTCTATAATTAATCAAGCTTGACGCGATTCACTATGTCAATCTAAGTATAGTTAGATACATTTTTATTATTTCCCTAGCTAAGACCAATGAATCATCAATTGAACACTGCGATTCTCTTAAGGAGCTTACTTAAATCAAATGGAGATACGTAAGAGATAAGAGATGTTTAACTGCTACTTACTTACACGTGACGTCGAACTTCTAAAATGACAACTCTACCCTCACATATCCTCGATATTCTCCCAAAAAACAACAATATAAGGTGCTTGTCCATGTCAAGGACCTTAATCTCACCCAAAGTAGTACAGCAAAACTGTGAAATCATATTATCACATTAATATAATATAAAATTCAAAAAAACGAAAAAAAAAAAAACGAAAATTTCGGATTAGTCGGTTCTCCTGTAGATCCGGAAACCGGAAGGTCCCTGTACCAAAAAAAAAAAAAAATTCAAAAAAACGAAAAAGTCTATATTGCCCAAACCCACAAATAGTTTTTGCCCGTACAATGATAATAAGAGTACATAATAAAACAAGTAAACCACCATTACATCGAAATCTCTACGCACTTCACTCTCCCCATCACATAAGCGATTTGAGCGACCTAGCCTTGATGGGCTTTCTCCCTCTCTTCCTCCCCTTTTTCTCTTCTTCTTCATCCTCTTCGGAGTCTTCGTAATCGGGCTCGTCATATTCCGACTTGTCTTCAGACGAAGAATAATTCTTCTCGATTCCGTGCCCGTGCTCGATATTTCCATTAGCAGAAGCAGAAGCGGAAGTATTATTGCAATCGGCGCCTCTTTTCTTGGCCCACCGAGGCCCAAAGCCCGAATAGTAGTAGAAATCATGGGGGTTGGAAGAGGGGGCCTTCTTGGGCCGGGCCGGACGGCGGGGTTCTGGGACTGGCTTCTTGGCGGCCGAGCTGTAGCTGTAGCTTCTCACCTGGGACAAATGGTGGTCGCACATAGTGTTGCCACCGGACGCCTCTCTTTTGCACTTCCAGTTCTTCCCGTCGGTTTTGCTGCAGATGGTGATTTTGCCCGGTTCGTTTTGCTCGGCCGCCGGCGGAGGTGGCGGCGGAGGAGGAGGTAGAATAAGGGGCTCCTCCGATTTCAGGGCGGCGGTTTTCGCCGGGGGGTCGTCGGAATATTCCGACTGCTGGCCTGTGTAGTTGCTGACAGGAATATATATGTATATTTGTGGCGTTTTAGTGGGCAATAATATCAATAACAACAATAATGATAATGATAACAGAAATAATATTAGTATGGTGATTAAAAAATCGCGTAACGATTTGAAAAGGGAAGAATTTATGTAGAGAAGTATATCGGAGGCACAAACCCTAAAGCAAAATTATCACGAAATGGTAAACAAGTGAAAAAAATGAAACGATAAAACCGTCGGTATTCAGACGGAGGCGATGGGAATACCTTTTTCCGGCGGAAAAACGGCCTCCGCAGCTCCCATTTGCGGCGGGGGCAGCGTCCGCGCCCACCTGCACAGAAATATCCGATTTCGAGAAAAAAAACTGAGCCATTGAAGCTAAAATCGGAGGGAAAAGAAGGAGCCCACGAAATAATTCGCGAGGTCGAGTCTGAATAAGCGGCCAATCACGCGGATTGGCGCGCTTTTCTGCAGAACCCTAGCGGCGGGCCTGCAGAAAACCCTAAAAAAAGCTGAAAAAAAAGAGAGCCGAAAGTAACAAGCGGCGCAAAAGAAATGCAGGAGGGTTCTCGAGGAGAACGGTGGGGGGGCGGGCGGGTGGAGGCAGATCCGGCCGCCGTCTCGGGGGAGGGGGATTTTTTTATACGGTACCTGGTGCGGCGGAGGATGGGTGGTGGTGGGCGGCGGACGGGAGAAGTCCATGACGTCCCAGGGCGACTGATTGAGCTGGCAGACGTGGGTCTGGAGGAGGGCGGCCCCCGGGTGGAGGGACGCGGCGGCGTAGACGAGCGGGGAGATCTTGGCGTGCTTGCGTATTCTCATGGCTGCGAGGGGGGTGGGGGTCGCTTTTTTAATTTTTAAGTTTTTGAGGGGGCGAAAATGGGAAGAAAGGTTTGGGGGGGCCGTTGGGCACGATGAAGTAGAGTAGATCCAAATATTGCTTTTGTTCTTTGTTTTTCCGTTTTTTAATTATTATTATTATTATTATTATTATTATTATTATTATTATTATTGGGAGATGCTACCGTCCCGTTACGGTACCATCCCGTCGGGTGTTTTAATCGTTAGATCCACGTGTAGTTAAACAAGATAGATGATCTAACGGTTAAAACACCCGACGGAATGGTACCGTAACGGGACCGTAACATTTCGCATTATTATTATTATTATCTGTTTTTTCTGGTTTCCTCTCTATGGATCTCTCGATATATATGTGTGTGTGTGATTGTGTGTTGGGGGCATTGGATTTAATTATTAAATTGGATTGGTAGTGATTATAAAATAGGATGTTAAATTAAATACTTTTTACGATGAATATTATTATTATTATTAATTTTTTTTATTCGATTAGTTGGCCGCAAGGTGCATACCACAGGTGAGACCAGAGGCCCCACGGCCAATTCATTTCTTTCATCTCCACTCTAGTTTTACTTATTGGAAATGCTTATCTCGTTCGGTATTTTAAGACATACTAACTTCTATTTTTTTTAAATGTCATTTTGGCATTATCAACTATTAACAAAATAAATGTCGTTTTGGATATTTTGTACATATTTTTCCATTATTACCCTCATCTAGCTAATAAATACACTACGTTTTTTCATATTCTCTCTTGATTTTTTCTCCAAAATTTATCTCTATCATCTTTAATGAGGGTTATTATTGACAAAAAATATATTCTTAATAACTGTGCAACCTCCCAAAACGACATTTATTATGAATAGGAGGAAGTATGATTTAACAATTAAAACACCTTTCAAGATGGTACCGCAACGGGACCATAGCATTTCTCTTATTTATTAAACTTTTTCGTAATTAGTTTTATGGACCAAAAAACTAATTAAATAAATTTGTTATCAAATAAGTTAATTAATTAAGCAGCTTTAATTGATCAAATCTCTAAACAAAATCTAATACTCTAATTTAACATAAATCCGCTAATAAACAAACCAGTCTTTAATTTTTTTGCGTGATGTTATTATAACTTTGCCCCTAAAGTGACTACTGGATAAAAAAACTCATTCTACAAAATAAAACAATTTTTTTTTTACAGAAATAGTATTCATTTAAATCGAGTTTTTTTTTTTTATTTAATATTCTATTTCACTAAAGCAATTACAAATAAATATATTATCATTAGTATATATTTAATTATGAATACAATCATTTACACCTACATTTATGGACCGCTTTTATTCGTTTGGTGCGAGGAAATGACACCATTTTTTTGTTATGGATATTCACACTTGTATATTTCTAAATATTAAGTAATAATTACCAATTTTATCAAACTAATATTTTATTATTTTATATTTTATCAACATTACTCACTATATTTTTATCTTATATTCATTTAAATTTTAAATTTATTTTGCTGTATTTTGTTATAAAAGTGACTAGTACAACACTCGTGTATTAAACGATTGTTTGGTAAATTTTTTTTCTTAAATTTTAAAATTAATGAGAAAAGGTGGTTGAAAATTAAGGGGATGATTGGATATAAAATCAACTCGTAAAAAACTAGTTTTTTTTTACTATAGTTAAGTTTGAAAAAAAAAGTAGTATAGTTAGTTGTTAGTAGATATATTAAAATAATATTTAAATTAAAATAATTAAAGTTGAATTGATGTAAAAATATGAGAAAATGATTGGATGTGATGGTTAGTTAAAATAATATGAGTGGATGAATAGTGAATTAAAGTTAATGTGATGCGTAATAATGATTGGTTGATATTATTTAATTATATTAATAATATTAGAGATAGTGAAGTTGAGTTGAAGTTGAGTTAGATTTGAGTTTGGGTGGGATATTTACTGTAGAAAATGTAAACAATCACGCCCTAAATATTTTTTTATAAAAAAATATATAATATTATATATCTTAGTACGACACTTGTTATTTGTGCGACTTACATGTTTTATATTATAATAATTTTTCTAACTTATAACATATTACTACATTAAACATAAATATATTAATTTAAAAATAATTTTATTTTTCTAATTAATTTCAATAAATAGTTTTATTATTATTATGAAGATAAATATAATTTATTTATTTTATATATAGAATATGGATGTCAAATCGAAACTCGTCAAAAGATGATTAATTTGATATATTATATATGTAACACCATACGAAATAAAAAAATTATCAACTTTTAAAATACATTTACAATTCAATGTTTATAATAGGAAATGATATTAAAGTACAATTAATACATAAGATGATCATAAAATAAATCAAAATATTTATGGTAATCCGAACCTAATTATTTTTTGATTGAAATTAATAAAGGGGGTGTATTCAATTGGGAATCTAAATGACATTTTAAAACTTTTTAGGATTTTCAGATTTGAGGAGAATTTTATGAAATCTTAAGTCGGAAATAGGATTTGAAGTGAGATTTCGTATGATGTTTTTTGTTTAGAAATCTCACCAAATTTTAAAAAGTCTTTATAAATCCTAGTGTCAAATAAATTAAATACCTTAGGATTTTGTAGGACTTTTAAAAATCTCATTGAATACACCCAGGATTTCTAAATTGAATACACCAGAATTTCTAAGTTTTAAAAAGTGCTTAAGAATTCTAATTAAATACACCCCCTAAATTAAAATATATCCAAACCAAATAATGAACTATGAAATTTTGACACATAGGATCCTGAATCATGCGAGTCTGCTACTTAGACTCAATATATTCGGGAGGATTTTAATCTTTTCTAACTTTACTTTTGGATGAGGCGCATTGTACTAAATATAAAAATTATATCCAATCGCAATCTATAGCGCACATAATAAAGCTAATGTCCAATCGTGTTCATAAGATTTGATTAATTCACCTGTATATAAAGGTAATGTCCAATTGTGTTCATACGATTATTTACTTAACTATTGACGTATATCAGTTATCACAACAGTCAAAATTTCCTATGGTGTATGGTGCAAATTTTTAAACAAATGTATGAACAATCTCATTTGGGATTTTTTTACCAAAAAAAAATCAAAACTTAACTTGCTGACAAAAAAATATAGGAAAAAGTGGGAGTGGAAAGAAATGAAAACTTAACTTGCAGACAAAAAAATATAGGAAAAAGTGGGAGTGGAAAGAAATGAAAAGCACGTATTCAGTGAATACGTTTTCTGCAATTTTTAATTGTAAAACGTATTCCGTGAATACGTTTTCTTTTGTAAAAAAAATGTGAAAAACGTATTCCTTGAATACGTTTTACTAAAATTGTAAAGAAAACGTATTTAGTGAATACGTGTTTTTGATTTTGGTCCACTCCCCTTTTTCTTTTTGTTTTTTGTCCACTTACTATTTTTTTATTAATAAATATATAAATTACCCTTGTGTGATATTACCTTAGATTTATGACATTAATTTTTGTCATTCTAATAAAGTGACCGACCCTCGTATTGGAAAACGTGACATCACTCAAATTTCAACTTTCATTATCCCCTTATATATTATGATTGTATTATGATTGTATTATAAATTAAATATATAAATAATATTAATCATGATTTATTTATTATTTTTTAAATTAAATTTGATTGGACACAATTCGATCGGATGGACTAAGAATAGGTTTATAACCAGTCTAGTTCGCTTGAATAAAATATTGCTATCGAATCCGCCAACACTAGTCGGTTGGACTAATAGGATCAATACGATTTTCTAATCGAATCCATCAACACCAGTCGGTTAGACTGATAGGATCGATAGGATTTCTAAATAAATTTTGTTACATGTAAAATGATTTTAAATAAAATTACATACTTAAATAAAATGAAGATTTATAAATTGTTAATCAATTAGTTTGAACATTTGAATTTATGAATTATTTAGATATTTAAGTAACACCTTTTATTAAAATTTATTACATAAAGTATTATATTATATATATATATATATTAAAACATTTATAAATTAAAATCTGAACAGGCCACAAATGATTTAATAAAATAACTTGATCGTTTTGATGACGTTACATTTTTGTAAGGCTTATATTTACAGCAACTTAATCAAGACTATACTAAAATATTGTTTTATTCACATAAATATTAAGAAAATGATATTTAAATATTCATAAATCAATACACGTGTTGTCATAAGCAGTGTTAATATGATTATTTGAAGTTTGGACTACATCACATTCACGTAATAAAGTATTTTCAGTATTAAAATTTAAATTTAGGTACAATAATCGATTTGGTCTGATTAAATTATACATAACTTAGTCACCTGAGACTAACCAAGCAGTGTCAAGTTTTTTTTACTATTTCAAATATCACCTAAAAATATTCACGGAACTCTTTTTTCTCTGGCGAAACCCTCTCCCAAAACCCTCGGCGCGCACCTCATCTCTCCGGCAGTTTTATCTTCCCCGGTGACGGTTAATCTCGGGCAGGGGTCTTCGACGACTGTCCCGGCCTCCGTTGACGAAGTGTACCTCTGATTCTCTGTGTATGGGCCTCGATTGGGATTCAATTGGGATTCTGGTCGACGATGTTGGCTCTCGGTTGTGTTGGAACCCATGAGGATCTCGATATGCACAAATCACGGACAAACATTCAACATAAACCTATGCGCAGCGGATCTAAAGGTTTGATGAAGAAAACTTACTGCTTAAGATTTATGTAGATCTGGTTGGCCCGAACAGTTGACCGCAAATCAAATCTTCTCGGAATCGAACAAACTTGACCAATCCAGAAAGCTGGCGTCACGGCGAAGTCAACGGCGTTGACCGATCGAAAATCGGACGGTTCACGCACTCTCACGCGCGCGAGTAAGCTCCGGCAGCTGCTCCCTTCCGGC